ATTCGCGGAGCCAAGCTGCGGGCACCTGCGGGCCGCCCGCCCCGCTCCTCCCCACCGGGCCCGGCCACGCCCGGGACTGAGGGTGAGGCACGGGCGGCAGCGCCGCAGGCGGAGGCGGCGTTGGGCGCGGCGCTGAGGTGAAGGGCGGTGGCGGGGCAGGCCGAGGCTGGAGGACAGCTTCTGGGCCGAGTCCGATCCGGTCGGAAGAACGGACAGAAGTAGCACCTGTGGGGATAGTTTCTTGCCTTGTACTGAATCTGTTTCAGTATTTTCTCTCTGACTTTCGGGTTTCAGTTTCAGTGCAAGCACCTTTTTGTCCCTCCAGCGTAAGTCTGGGGACTGTGGTTTTGCATAGAAAACACAAGGATTGCCTGCAAACAGAGAACAAGTAGCACACTGCATTGCTTTGCTGTTTGAGGTGAAAGCGTTGGAATGAGCAGTGCTGTGGTGCTTTGCTTTTGTATGACGCTGGTAAGGGAAGCTGAAAGGAACATGGAAAGCTGGCATAGGCTCAGTGTCAATGAGACATGGAATCGTTAAGGTTGGAAAAGACCTCTCAGGTCATGAAGTTCAACCTCCAGCCCACCCCCACCATGCCCACTGCCCACATCCCTCAGTGCCACATCCACACGGCTCTGGAACACCTCCAGGAACAGTGACTGCACCACCTCCCTGGGCAGCCTGTGCCACTGCCTCACTGCTCTTCATGAGGAAAAAGATTTTCCTAATATCCAAACTAATATCATTTCAGAATTACTTCTAGAGCAGCCACCGCAGGCCTAGAGAGAAATTCAATTATCCATTTTACTTCTGTTGAGTTGTACTACTTTCAAAACTTGCAAGCCATCCTGTCAACAGTAATTTTCAATATTACTGTGTGCAGGAAGGCATATCTGTCTAAAGCAAACCTGTGCAGCACGTTGTTCACCTGCAAGGCTGTACCACAGCTCTGACAACAATGCTTTTTGCTTTGTGTACTCTGTAATTGCTTGGGTGTAGGCTCCATTCAAGATAAAAATGTTTGTTCTTCCCCATCAGGAAATAAAATAAAATAAAAATAAATGTGGGAGAGCCTAGAGAAAAGTTAAATTATAATTTACTAGAGAACCAGGTGAAAAAATCTGTTGGATGGAGACATCCTTTCAGGCCATGTCTTATACATAATGCTTTAATTATAATAAACTTTATTTCCTCAGAGTTTATGAACAAAACAGCTGACCCTTGTCATGAAATGAGAATGTATGTTTCAGCACAGTCAAACCAAATCCACCTCATCAAGCCGTTTTTCTTCTGTGTGGAAAGCATCCAACGCGTAAAATCAACTCTGACATATTTTTCCACGTGTTTAGGTAACTGTATGTGAATGCCACAACAGCTGTGATTCACTCATCTTCATTCCACATACTCCCTCTGCTGGAAATGAATGTGAAAGGCCAGAGGATCGGAAGGAGAGATTGAGTGCAAGATACATTAAAAATAATAATAATAAAAGAGCATCTTTCATTAAAAGATCACACACTCCACGGCCCGTAGTGGCTGCAGACTGACTGATTAATGGGCCTCAGAGGACAAGGAAGAAAGTGAAACCATGTGTCACAGCTAGTACTTCCCATTCTGCCCTACACGAGGAGCGCTCTTCCAGCCAGGGGCTAAAAACACTGTTTTAACACTGCCCATACAGTCTTAACTCAGATTGCAAGTTGCTAAAGACAAAGCTTCATTAGTGACTGAATGCAAAAATAACTGAATAAATCTGGTTTACTTTCAGTAGAAACAGCAGCATAAATCAGAGATATATAGTTTGACACGCTGCTGAGATGTTGTCTCCATGGATTTTAGGAAAAGCACTGAAATACTTCTACCCAGCAAAACAGTGAATTCCTCCTCTTACACAGAATGATACTGCTGGCAGTGATGCTGTCCTGCATAATTAGTAGCTTCCATTTCTTCTAGGATAAAGAGTATACGGATGGGGGATACGAGATCCACTTTGGTTTTTTTCTTCAAATCCTGACAGCTATTTGCACTCAAGTAAAATAACTGCTGTTGGTAAATGGTAAGAGATTCCACTGCCATAGCTGAGAAAAATCAATTGAAACAGTGGCTAGAAATTACAAAAACAGTGCTGCAGGAAAGCCTGAACATCTTAAAAATACTATAGGGTCCTCTGTTATGCAAACAGATAACTTTGAACCATCACATAGTATCTGAGATCGATTTTAGCATGCTCTTATTTCAAAAAAACACAAATAGCATTTTCAGGTTTGCTTACATAAAAATATTGTGGTAAATGGTAAATTAAAAAAAAATTTAAGAAAGTGAAGTTTATAAGTATGGCATTGCTGACAGTTGTAAATAAGAGTCACAAATGTAAACAAATGATAAATACATTTTGGTATGTATCTATTTCCAAACAACATGGTATAATAAAGCAACAGCAATAAAGCAATAAGGAAACAGCCACGATCACTACAAATTTAACAAAGCTCAATTAACTCTTCTTTTATCTTTCAGTTTCTGACTTTTCAGAGATCTTGCCTCTACAGTGCTCTCTGAATATCCCCACCTGAATTATTTTTGTTAACCTTGAATAATCAAACAGCAACTAAGTGCTGTCAGAAGTCACTGGAACATTATGTACCATTGTGACTGACAAAGCTCTCTTTGGTCCCATCTCTTTCCTGATGCAATATGCAGAAACACAAATTCCTCATTTCCATAATGTAACCCCGGTAACAAAGGCTATGACTTGACAAAAAGCACTTTATTAATCTTCATATTTTTAACCTCATATTCCCTTAATTGCTGAAGAATTTTGAGCTTTTACCTTCTGTAACATTTGGCTAGGGAGCACACAGGTACTGACTTTTTATGATCTTAAAGAGAAAAGTTATCATTTTTGTTATGGAGTATTTATGTCTTAGGATATGTCTCTCTGCACAGCTCATCCACTCCCAAGAAGAATTCAATTTTATCTATTTCACATTCATCTAACTTTGCCTTCTCATCTTTTATGTTACAGGTTATTCATTTTATAGAATCACAGAATCACAGAATGGCCAGGGTCAGAAGGGACCTCAAGGCTCATGAATCTCCAACCCCCTGCCACATGCAGGGCCACCAACCTCCACATTCAATACCAGACCAGGCTGCCCAGGGCCCCATCCAACCTGGCCTTGAACACCTCCAGGGACGGGGCATCCACAACCTCTCTGGGCAGCCTGTTCCAGCACCTCACCACTCTCTCTGTGAAGAACTTCCTCCTGACATCCAACCTAAATCTCCCCTCCCTCAACTTAAAACCATTTCCCCTTGTCCTGCTGTTATCTACCCTTTCAAAGAGTTGATTCCCCTCCTGTTTGTTATAGACTTATTGACTAAGATCACATTTCTCAAACTTCTTTGTAACCATCATCTAAAAAATCAGTACGGTAAGATGACTGCAAGACAAATGACTTTTTCTCATCTTCTGAGATGATCACTTTCTCTTGTACCTTTTAGTAAGTGCATAGTGAGGAAATGTATAATGTCATTACATCTGATTCTGCTGTCTCTATTACTTCAAGCCACCCTCTTAACACTGGTGACTGCTGAAATGACTTCTGTGGCTGAGTAAGAGTCCCCCAAAGAATGAAGAATCCTGCAAACTAAAACCAGACCACCTATATTGAAGAGCAAATTAATGTTACCTTGAGGAAGGTAATCCTAGAATTTACATTACAGATACATTTTAATTTTTTTTTAATACATTATTCATCAAAATACTTTCACAGGATCTTTAAAGAAACCTGTTCCTAAAAAGCAACATAGGGTCATATCTATAGCTCATGTTAACATGTTTTTAAAAGTACTTAGGAGCATTTATATGGATTATGCTGTCTCTAACCATTACTTAACATATGAATTTTAATGCTTAGGAGTCAGATTGTCACAAACCAAACACATGTGAAGCACAAACGAGATATATGTTCAAACCATTACCAACTTGATTTTGCTTTTGAAAATAAGCTGGAGACCATTTTAAAATATTTTGACAAAGAAAACAAAAAAGATGAATCTATTGAAGAAAAAAAAAAAGTGAAACCAAGAAGTGAGTAATTTTCTATTTTAAATAGGAATTACTTATCTATTTCTGAAGTCAGAGGTAGGGATTTTTCAGCTGATTTGTAGGGGAGAGTTCTACATTCTCTCTTGCATTTGATGGTGGAGAATGTGTAACACTGACAAATATTATGGCACGGTAGCTGAAATTCTGAGCAAGTTTAAGTGCCAGTAAATATCACCAAGCAGTTCTCGTTAGTATTAAAAAAGCTCTTTAATTAGAAAGTTAGTGCAATTGTAGTAAAATTGTCAGAAACTGAACACGCTCCAAGTATGTATGTATATCAGAAACATAAAAAAATGCACATCTCCATAGTTATCACAACACTGTTGTAACTCCTAGCATTACTATTCTACTTCAGACAAATTAAGAAGTAGTTTAGGTTTTAAGAGAGGAAAAAAAGCCAACAACAAAAAAACTGCCTATCTTGAGATGGCATAGCACTCTTTTAAGAGCATTCTTCACATAGTCCATCAAAAATAGATCAGTTGCTCTAAAAGTAATACCTCCTTTTTATTTCCATGGAAACTACAGTAGATACAAGGAGCACAACAACACTATCTGATAGAGCAAATTCTCAGCTACAAAACCTTATTTTTCAACATAGTCACAATCAACAGCTAGGTGTTTTCACCAGCAATGAAGAAGACTCTGTGTATTGCTCTAGTAACAATCTGTACCAGCTGCTGCCACTGCTAAAATGCACCACTCACCACCTCACCATGCTTACATCCACTGCTTGGTCTCCATAAACATTCAGCAAGCATCTATGAATGTCAGTGGGTGCTATTTTTCCAGAATTCAATGACGTGCCTTCTCTTCAGTCGCACTTTCATGTCAGACACTGCTGTGTCAGACTGCCCCTCTGCTGCCATCTGTCACACAGCAAAGCATGTAATGGAATATTGGTGGGAAGGTTCAACCTCCACTGCCATCCCACCAACATCTGCCTCTGTCATCATGGGCCAACACCACAAAACAGGAGGCATTACTTTCAGCGTAGCCCTCACACTTTCAAATCATAACACCTGAACATAGACACCTTTTTCCTCCAATAAAGTTTCATATTGTTATTTGCTATCCTGTTTTTTAATTATATCACTGACCTTTTAAAATAATGCACAATGTTAAAATTACAGTACAATGTGAGTACAATCAATGTAACCTGAACTTTTTTTATGTTTACAGTGATGGATGTGCCATGTAACACAAAAATACATGAGCGGGGAGGGGAAGGAAAGGAAGCTATCCATACCAATTTCTTCCCAATGAACAACAAAGAGTGTATATAAATCCATGCAAGTATTTTTGAAACAGATTTAATGAAATAAAGCATTCAGCAGGCAAAAAGGATAACTGAATGTAAATTAAACTTGAACTCTCCAAATAGTGTGCAGTCTTCACAGGCCATTGTGAATATAATATTAGAAGTTCTTGAATGAAGAATTCCTAGAAAATAAAACAAAACATAGTCTAATTTTGTAGTGAACATAGAAATAGATTCTGAGGTTTCCATGAACACAATTTAAGATTTTGATTCTGAAAATACTACGAGCAGGCTTCCTGTCTCTTCTGAAATCAATCCAGGTAGATGATTTGAAGCATTAGACTTTGTTGTGCAAATATGCTACAATGCTTTTTGAAGGGAAGGACAAGTTTTGGACTCCTACCAAAGAAAATGTACAAACAAAGGTCTTTCACATCAGGTCTGCAAGACATGCTACATGGTGCATTCTTTTCATTTTACTCATACAGGGAGTTAAGTCAGAGAAAAATGGGAGAATAGGAAAAAGTTACCATCCAATTTTTTTATGATATCACATTCTGAATTTAATGAAAAGGTGATTGCCTGACCCATCTCCTATCTTAGGATGTGTGCTAAAACAGTGCACAAAATATGTAGTGTAAGAAGAGTGACAATGGTAATTCCAGCACTGCTGTCTCAGGGTTTTTTACTGCATGTTCAGATACTGGTTGCAGAAAATTCCTCTACACCAAGAAATTATTGTTTCTACCATATCTTTCTGACTCCCCAAGTAAGTCATCTTCAAGCATCTAAGAATGAAATTTCAGCTCTTGAAGGACTTTTTTAGTAATTTCAACTATTCTGTATTGATGCAAACAAGAAATGAGTTGAACTCATAATCTAGTTTGTAGAAGATTAATCTGGATTAGGATTCAACCAAGAAGACCAATGGCATCCTGGCTTGTATCAGGAATGGTGTGAGCAGGACTAGGGGAGTAATCCTGCCCTGTACTCGGCATTGGTGAGGCCTCACCTCAAGTACTGTGTTCAGTTTGGGGCTCCTCAGTACAGAAAGGACATTGAGGTGCTGGAGCAGGTCCAAAGAAGGGCAACAGGGCTTGTGAAGGGCTTGGAGAATATGCCCTATGAGGAGAGACTGAAGGAATTGGGGCTGTTTAGTCTGGGGAAAAGGAGGCTGAGGGGAGACCTTATTGCTCTCTTCCAATATCTGAAAGGTGCTTACAGCAGGAGTAGAGTTGGTCTCTTCTAACTGGTGACAGGACGAGGGGAAATGGCCTCAAGTTGCACCAGGATAAGTTTAGGTTGGATATCAGGAAACACTTCTGTACAGAAAGGGTTGTTAAGCACTGGAATAGGCTCCCCAGGGAGGTGGGTGAGTCACCATCCCTGGATGTGTTTAAAATCCGTTTGGATGTGGTGCTCAGGGACATGATTTAGTGGAGGGTTGTTGGAGTCAGGGTAGTATGGTGAGGTTGTGGTTGGACTCGATGATCTTTATGTCTTTTCCAACCCGAGGAATGCTATGATTCTACGATTCTGTGATTCTTTGGATTTGATATTTAACTAGCACTTTACTAATTAGAAAGGAACACTTTTCTAATATCAGTCTGATAAGGAGTTGAACAAATAGGAACAGCATCATAATTATGTAGTATCAGTATAGATGACAACATAGACTGAATTGATTGAATTCTCTTTTCTTTAGATGATATCAAAAATAAAAGAAAATGTTGTGGTTATAAAAAGTCATTTGATCAGTCCCAAGTGACACAGAGCTAATTTCAACAAATGTAAGAGCTACACTACACTCAGGTTAGGAAGGAGTAGACACGGTTCTTTCAGAGGATGAAGGGACTGCACTTGATACAAAAGACAGACAACAGCTACCAAATTACAGTCTTACACTGCTGTGCTAATATTTACCAGATTCATCTCAGAAGTACGCAACCGATTCAAAAGCAGACCATTTCCTGAAAGTAATGAAATGAGAATTTTTCCCACTCAATTGGCAAATATTTTTATTGCATGCTGCCATCAGTATGAATTGTGAGGCAACAAGCAGACAGCTACCAAACATAGAATTAATCTAAAAGACTAAAACTGACAGGGGAGTAGATGTAAGTGGTGGAGGCTCCATTTCAGTGACTGCTGGAAGGAAAACTGTTGTTTTTTTTTTCCTACCACAAGATTACAAGTGTTTGAAAACTCATAGAATGCATTTAAATATGGTGCCAAGTTGTGTAATTGAGCCAATATTTCAACAAGAAATATCAGAGTTCATCCTTTTATTTCATTTGTTTTCAGTGTTGGGAACTTAAACATTGTTGAACTACTTACCCTTCCAGGGAACTGTCCAGAGACCAATCAGGAAGTGGATGATGAGCACGTTCAGGTGATGATGTTCTTAATGTAGAGCTTAACTGATACGTGACTGTACGATTCTGGCATCGAAGTTCCTGTACAGCTCGTTCCCTATATAAACATTATTTCACAGTCAGATTAAGCACTTCTAAAAATCAAAGTTATCACACAGTCATTAACTTTTTCTTTGTTCTTTTAACTTTTTTTTTTTCCTTAAATTTTATTTTATATGGAGGTGTGGTGCTTGTCATACACTTCTCTAAAAGACAGGTAACTCTTTCTGCATACTGTTCTTACAGCTAACTTACAGGCTGCACAACAAGATTTAACTTTGCTCTTTCCAAAACAATTCAGGCAACTGTGTTTGTAATTATCTTGAAATAGAAGAGAAATTGTTTTCAAGAACGACAATGGAGGATCTCTGATCCATAGTGAGGCAACACTGACGTATAGACACACTCTAATATTTATCAGGTGAATAAACTATAAATTAAATCTTGGTATTACTGCAACTGTAAACAACTATGTGAGTAACAAATTATCCTTAATTAGGAGAAGAGCTTAAGTATGGAGGCTGATTCTGCTTTTTGACCATGAACGCCCCAAGAAGTATCAGGGAACAACCAAAAACCACAAAATGGATGCACTCACACTGGAGAAGTAGGGAAACAACTGCTTAGAGAAGAGCGAGACTATTTTAAAACAAACGTACTGCTGCATTAGCATACTATGTGGCTTATTTTGTGCAGCTGAAGAAGTACACATGATGCTACCTTTTTAATGCACTCACACATCTAACCCCAAAGTTCTGCAGTTTTTGCTGTAACTTCAGGGTAAAGGAGAAAACAATTTGAAATTGAAACACGTACTGTGACATTTGAGAAATGTATCTTTAAAAGACCTAATCTCAAGTGTAGATGTTTCCCCCTCAGAACTCTCATTCTTATGAGTGAATAGAGTATTAACAAACTAATTTGCTACTATTAAACAAAATACCTGATTCTCAAGCATGCTATAATCACATCACTACTTCTTCTACCAATTTCTTTTGAATACCTAAAATAATACTTGGCAGTTTTTAACATTTTTAACCTCACTACATCCATGAAGTAGAAAAATCTTGCTATTTTTGTTTCATAAAGAAACTGTTTAAGATACCAAGACTAAATAGATAAGGCAACTAGTAAGACAGGCCTAGGACTGTTTCTTGTACTATGGCTAAATCACATGAAACAATGTGTACCTACTGTTAAACTTTCTCATCCTGCCCATTAAATAAAAACCTAAAAAGGTGATTTTCTTCATATTGGCACATTCAGTGCCCCACACAGCACTTGGGAGAGTGCAGACTGTACAGGCTAAAATTGTTTCATTGTGTCAGTACAGACTAATTAGAGACAAGTATGCAACAAGATGCCTAGACCCTCACTTGAAATAAGTGCATGTTCAGGAAAATGTCCATCCCATCCTAAAGCAGGCCGTTTGAGAAGCAAGTTTATTTCGGTGTCTCATTGTGTTGGCAGGCAACTAATGTAGACAGAACACGTAACAGTTTCACACACCATGGCATGAGTAGCCTCTGAACACATAGTAGACGAAGAACAGAGCAAAGCCGAACTTTGCTGTTTATCCTTTTAATCAGAGTAAGTCTTAGTACTGCATTGGATTTCATCCCATTTAGATGGAGAAAACATAATACAAAAATATGTACTTGCCTTTCAAACCTCTCAGTTGCCAGCTGTCTTCTAGTGATATCCAATTCTGACTCTAGCTGAGCTGTTGTATTTTTGAGCTGAGTGAAATCTCGACTCTTCACAGTGCTGTAAAGTTCATATGTTTTAATTAGATAGCAGCTATAATCCTCAAGTATGTTACCAAATAGAATTATGCAAAATGAAAAGGGCAGCTATACCATGCAACTGATTCCCTTCTGGAGTAAAACGTGCACAGAAGAGTACTTTAGGTTATAGCTGAGGAATTAGAAGCAGGCTTATGTTATCTTCTGCTATTAAGGTATCCAAGGTACTTTAATCATTTGAAAATGCAGCTAGATAGACATGTGTATACATGCATATCTATGTTTATGTATGTATATATGGAAAGAATTTAAAAACAAAACAAAACTCAACTACAATGTCCTCCTGGTCATTTACTCACAGTTTATTCTCTGCTAAAAAAAGTTGCTCCTTGAGAAGCAGAATTTCGGAGTCTTTCTCTTGCTCTGCTATTTGTGACTGAAATTCTCTCTCACGATTGGACGCAAGCAAAGATTCCAGATTTTTCAGAGATGCTCTTTCATTTTCCAGTTGTCTTCTCAGCAGCTCTATTTCAGAATGGGATGAATCACATTCACTCTGCAGCTAAACAAGGTTTGTAACATTTCAGATGTATGCCTGCTGTGTTCAGTGGTCAGCAGTTAGAGTAATCTTTAAAAATAAAAGAAGTTTAGTATTGATGACCCAAATTTGTTCTTACTCCCAGATGGTTCAACATGGTTGATTACTGTCATATTTGACCTCAATTAAAATCCTGTTTCGGATTTATAAACTTACTCAGTGCATATCTATGAACTTAGGCATACTTGATACAAATAAGAAACTCTATGAAATAGAATAATATAATCACAGAGCATCCTGAGTTGGAAGAGATTTCAACTGTCCCTTCTATGCCTTGCCTTCGAGACCCCTTACCACCTTTATAAGCCCTTTTTTGGGTACTTTCTGACAGTTCTATCTCCTTTCTATATTGTGGCACTTAAACCTGCACCCAGTGCTTGAGGCGAGGCCTCAGTACAGAACAGAGCACTTTTTTAATTTACAAAGCAAAATCCAAATTATTTGGTCTTAATGAATTAAAATGAGTTTTCCTTATTCTGAAAAGCCAATTTTCCACTGTCAATCAAAACTATAGTTTTCTTGCCTATAAACAGTTCTGATATTCTATTTCTGTATTTCAGAACAAAACAATACTAAAAATCATATAAGCTTTGTTAAAATAAACAGTATTAAAACACTGAAAGAACAATATTATTTTAGCATCAGCATTCAGAATCTTCACTGAACTCTCCAGCTGCATTTCTGTATTTTCCCATCCTGAAACTCTTGCTTCCCTCTACAATCCCAGCAAGCCTCTTCATTGACAATTTGATAAAAGAATCACTTCTGTTGCTTCCTAAACCTGTCAAGCATTCTAATGTCCATATCAAGTTTCTTTGCTAATAAACTACTCTAGCTGTTCTGTCTATTAAGTGGCTGAATGTGAAATCCAAGCCATCTGTCAAGAAAACAATTAGTAATATTGCATCCTGAATTTCAGTACTTGAAGTAACTTTGTAAAGCAGTGGTGGTATAGACAGTACAACATCCATGCTCCGAGGAGTATGTTTCTGAGGCATGCTACATTAAACATAAAAAAAAAGAAAGAGACGCTGATCATCAGTAGAGATTTCTTTGATCATTCTAGATCTGAAAGTAGTTTGAGATCCCTTAAAGTATAACATTAACATAAAATTATTTTTTAAATTTATTTCACATACCCTTTCTACCTTCTCTGATGTGGAAGTTAACTGCTGACTTAACAGTTCTTTGCCTGCATCTAATTTAATGCAAAGTTCTTGCGTAGATACGAGATTTGCAAGTATAGAGACTCTCTCCTGATGTATGTTTTGAAGCTCTCCTTCCATTTTCACAATAGACTTGTGTAAAGTAGAAAGCTGAGACTGGTATGCTTCTTCTGTTGTTAAATGCTATAATAAAGCAATATCAGATAATCAAAAGTGTATTGCAAAGAAATTATAAGACTGCTTCCAAATTCCTACAGAAACATCCTACAAAAATGTTGTTGTGATGATTTTTAAGAGGTTGCAGTAGTTTATTCTGGAATAAATTTTAAAGTTATTTCTTTAAATAACTTCTGTATATAAAATAAGTAGAAAAAAGATTCTTGCTTCTGATAGCAAATTCAGCTACCAACATTTTAAACTTCTTAGGATTCTACTCTTTCTTCTGAACTATTAAGATTCAAAATTCTGCCATGGGCCTTATTTCATTCCCAGATAGAACCTCTTATTTTTAAAATAAAATGTATTCCTGCATGTAGAAGAGCACTGAATGCTCAAATGCTGTCAGCCATGTTCATGTTGCTGTCACCCAGAAACTCAGGCATGATGAAGAGCTGACAGAAGCCACACTAAAATGAAGTTTACAAAGCCAACAGCAGCAGTTTTGACTAAAAGCACTCTGAATGTTGTGTATTTTACAACAATATAACCTAGATTTTTCCCTTTTGAAAAATGCCTGTACCTTAGCCAGTCATACCTGTCTTGTATTTCCAACCACTTTTAACCGTTTAATTGTCAATGTGGCTGAGCATGGAAATTTGACAAAGGCAATGAGAGCAAAGAGACAAAGCAACGACTTCCCTGAAAGATTTCTTATAACTGAGATGGAAAAAGATGGTCGTAGGGGGAATACGTTACGTAATTCTAGCTCTTACTTGGCTAAAATAAATAAATTAATTTAAAAAAAAAAAAAAAAAAAAAAAAGGAAAAGGGCTACATTAAATTACATACATTAAAATTTCTGAATTAAAATTAGTGTGTTTAAGATACATGCCTTAATGTAACTGCTGCGAACCTGAACATGATATCCATCTGCAATTCTGACTGCATTTGTTGACACATGAAGAGGCCTGTTTATTCCTGTAATTAATATTAGACCTGGGAAGGAGGTAGAAAGATAAAATCTCTACCCATTTGAGGCTGGTTAGACAAACTAGGACCACAAGCCAGCTTCATTATATTAAAAATCTGCCACACAGTTGTCCTGCACTCTGTTCTACTATGTTCTCATCCTTCTTTATGAACAGCTGCAGATCAGCTTCTATTGGCTATCTAATGTGCGTGAGAAGCCCTCAATAGCCTCTGCAATATTTAGGAAGCAGAGATGATCTGTGGCAAAAACAGCAACCCCAAACCAGAACACAATTTAAATGTTCAGTTTAAATGTTAAGTCCTTCACATTTTCAAATAGGAAATAAATAGATGTTTGGGACACCTAAACCACTGGAAAGAAGGTTGAAAAGTTGGAAGCAAGAAAAGCAAGGACTGGAATGTACCAGGGGACAAAGCACTAGGTATGTTTCAGGTATGCTGTGGAGTTCTGTGCGAGGTTATGCCCTCCCTCATTTCAAACATGCTGTTCAACTTTTTTCTTTGAACTGTATTATTTTTATTTTATGTGCTATTTTTAATTTGTTTTCCCCCAAGTATGACATTTGTATGACTGCTCATTACGTTACGAAATAAACCCCATATTCTTCAGTGTAGCAACTATCTCTAAAATTCAAATAGAAGTGATATAAACTATAATTTTAAACAGCCATAAGCCTAAAATATTACCAGAAAATTTCAAATGTGAACTGCAGAAACTATGATTTCAACTTACTTGCTCCATCTCTGTCTCAAGAGTCTTCATTTTCTCTTTCAACCTGCGGTTCTCAGACTCTGCACTGATTAATGCCAATCTGGCAGAGTTACAGTCTTCTTCTGCTTGATGGCACTTTGCTTCCCAACTTTCTCCTTGTTCACGGGCTTTGTGGTAATTCTCCAAAAGCTCACAGTTCTCTCTCTCCTAACACATAAAACTTGTTTAATATTTTACAGTATGCTTCTCAAAATAGGGATATGTACAGCTGTGCAGGTATGACATAGCAGTGGATGTTCTCTTTTTATTGAGAATCTTGCATTTAGCAAAAACATTGAGAGACTTCTCAGAACAAGTGTTTTGTTCCATATGGCCACGTTGTGATGCACAAGAGACTTCTGTTAAAAATGGCTGAATTAACACTAAAAATGTGAAGTATAGGAATATATTGCAAACTTTTTTCTGTTGATCCCATACAGTAGCAGAGACAAAAGAGTCCCAAGTTCTTATATTATGCACTGAAGTTTTAAATTCAATGAACACACACACACATGCATAAAATGGTGAAATATAGTTTGTTACTTGTCTACTGGAAAATCAGCTAAGAAAATACTTTCAAACTATTAAAACTGTAGTAGCTGAACACATATTTGGAAAGATCTTCTACGGAAAGATGGTTGCAATTTCAATTTTAGTTAGAACAGCTTTAATCCACATACTCACTTTAAACTTCAGTACTCCCTTAAGCCTGGCAATATCCGTGTTTGAATCCTGGGCTTTCAACTTCATCTCATCAAGCTCATTCTTGTACTTAGTTATTTTCATATGTAGTACCTATGAAGAAAGATGTGTTTAATAAGGCTGAAGTATACTGTTTGTACCTTGACAAAAATAAATAGAATTTGTACATATCTAGAGCATATGCCTTTATTAAGTATATACAAAATATAAGGTATGTGGATTTCTACAAATGAAATTTGGCACATATCAAAAAGATTTACCTTCTTTGACTTTAAAATAATACTAAATCTTAAAATGAAGAAAAACATGAATAGGATTGCAGAAAGGTTTCTGGACAAGTCAATTATTATCTCCCTTTCTTGCAAACTACTGTGAGAACACTCCACTGCAAGAAGCAGTACGTAAGGAAAAACAGATGTAGACTATGGAGAAACCCTTGTTCCTGTTGTGAAATGTCCATGAGGTGCTGAGAAAGGTGCTCTGGAATTCTGTGAACTTTTTCAGCCCTACTGAAGAAAGAGGAATACTAATTGAGATGCTTGGACTTTCACCTAAATTAATGGAAAAGCCACAAGTAAAAAATACATATTATAAAGACACATCTATTAAAAATTAGTTGATCACGTGAGGCTAAGATTCTTTTGTTTCTACCTGCTTCTATAAGCCTACAGACACATTTCAAAGGAACCATGAAGTTTTTGAAAGTAGCTACAAGCAACAGGTAGCTTTATTTATACCAGCTGACCACACCAGAAACAATGGGGATTATAAAAGATTCTGAATAGATGAGAGATATAGATGAATAGAGAGATGCCTTTCAGTAATCCATGTTTCTACTGACACTCACTATCTGTCTTTTGTGATTATAGCATTTGAAGAAGAGGAGAAAATCAGGAAATAGAAAAGTATATTCAAAGAAGAAGATATTCTAAGCAGTTGAACAAGTATAGAAGAGAAAAAACAAGCATGAGAAAACCTGAATTAAGGCAGAGGTTTTAACAAAAAGAAGAAAAAATAGAACATTATACAATGATGACCTACTGCAAGTACTAAGCCTAATTTCTGGCTGCTTAGAAAACATATTGATGTGTGAACATCAAACGTGTGCATGAGATGAGACTGTAGTCTAGACGTGTATGGGAACTGCTGAATCACAGCCTGAACCTCTGATTGATCACCTGAGGCAAGCACTGAGTCAGCCACGGGAGCACAGGTAAGGCAATTCACCTGTGCTGCCAGAAGGGGTGGAGCCTGACTCCATTTCTCCTAGACCCATTTAAGAGCTGGCTACCATTGCTATTATCTTTTACCCAAGAGCCCCTTTAAAGAATGGTATATACAGTCCTGTTAATAAAGCTATGAACCTTAATAAATGTGTCCTGTGTTCAAATATGTAAACTTGTATATGCTCTGAGCCAGTCGCAGCACTGTACAATAAATAGCTGCTGTCTCCTTTACAGTATTTTTCAATGTAAGTAGCGGTTATAACCACCACAATTATTTTCACAAAAAGACCAGAAACAAGAGTTAAGCAGCTGTTCCTGGAGATAAACATCCAAACCATAACACCAGAGCAACTGAGCTTCTTCACACAGGTGACCTAAACAGGAAGTGACAAAATCAGTTTGAAAAATGAGCGCACCAATTCTATGCGCTACCAGAAAAACACTTAACACTTTTTAGTCAAGATTTCTCTATACGTATATACCTGATTTTCTTGTTTAGCATTAGAAAGATGCTCTTGTAACCTGTCCTTCTCCTGAGCTAACATTTCTCTGTTGTTGTTAGCTTGTGCAAGTTCTTTGTTGGTTTCTTGCAGCTGTTGTTGCAAACTGGTGATATCTTTCTCACAGATACACAGCGCTTCAGCAGATTTTCTATGTAGCAAATAACAAATACTTCAGGTATGACAATGCTGTTCAACATAGCAAAATGATAGCTTTCCTGTGGTTAAGTTTGCAGACTGTGAAACAAAGCTGTAGCATTTTAATATGCAACAGAGTAGAAAAAAAAACAATTCTACATTAGCACATCCTAGGATCCTTTTCTTTTTTTTTGCATTAATACTATGCGTTAATCAAAACTTAATTATGATCTTGAAATTTTATCCTTACTGTATTGAACGCTCCAAATCGGAAATCAGAATCTTCAAATCTGAAATAGTTTTCTCCTTAAAAAGAAATACAAAATTAAGATAAATTCCTCACAACTCTGATTTCCTTTTATTCAGTTAGCTGATTAATGCAAAACAGATTCTGATTTTCAAAGTTTCATCGTGTACTGTTTAGAGCTGAAAATCCTGATAACCTACTTTGGCAAATAAAGCAACAAATATTATCTTCTGCAGAATGTAACACTTTTAATTAAATTTTTTAATCCTTTGTGGTTTGAATGGTGGCATTTGTCATACACACTCTCAAAAGTAAATATGTCTTCTGTCTGCTAGATAAGTTATCACAGTTTTTCTACAATTAACAGACTACCAGAGTTTGGTAGTTTTTAACTGATAAAACAAAAACTCTGTCACTGTATTTCCATCAAAAAAACAAAACAAAAAACTAGCACAAACTGTATCAGTTTGTTCCACTGTCTCTGCATACAGATATTATAAGTATAGATAGGCTAAGCAAATGTCATCTACTGAAAACCCAAGATATATGAGATACAGCCATTGCTTCTGCAAAATAGGCACCATTTACAATTTACAGTCTTTAATATGTGGAGTTATTGTTTATAGCAATATGATTATGGCCTGTCTTGCAATATCCTATTTTCAATGTTATGTTGAAGGTACTGCAACTTCAAGTTAACAATCACTGCATTTGTGAAATACCTCATTTAGTGTGTCCTAAATCAATATCAAGATAACAGGCTGAAGAGAAAAACAATGCTTCAGACCTAAGCAGCTTCATTACAGAGATTGAAATCACACTATGCAAAAACCAAAAAAAAACAAAAAAAACAAACCCTGATGCATTTTGCCTAGCTAAACTAATACCTTAAGATGAAAATGATACCATTCAAATGCAACATCAATGATAAGAAAAGCAGTACTACTTGGCACTGTATCTTTAACATTAATGGGCACTGGGGAAGAATTCAGGCTAAACTTCATAATAAAATACTTTGTTAGCCAATTTACTTTTCTTCACCTAAGGAAAGTAATTAAAGTTTCCTCTCTTGATAAGTATAAGCTATGCAAAAGCCAAACATGAGGGGTTCAACGTGGCTCAGACCCACTGCTATTGATGTTAACATGAATTTTACTGTCTTGAAACTGAAGCAGGTCAGCACTGAGCTCTGCACTGCAGATAGCATTATAAGAGTGTTATGATGACCCAACAAATCCTTCCTCTATTTAATCTCTCATGATTCTATAATTTATTCTGATTTTTCCATGTTAGAACATACTTTAATCTTCAGGTTTTCCTCAAAAGTGATGATCTTCTCTCTTTCTTCTTCCACGCATTCTTGCAAAGTTTCCTTCTCTTTATCAAGTTGCACAATTGTATCTTTCAATGCACAGATCTTCTCTTCTTGTGCAGAACTTTGTTTTGAAAAGTCATCTGAATGCAATCAGAAAGGTCTTGTTTTTATAAATTCAAATCATTCAAGATAAAAACTATTTTGATACACTTCTGAAGCATAAAAGAACATTACAAAAGTTTTCCTTCAAGAAAATACTGAGGCAGGTGTGTTTTCAGAAACACAGGTAATCCCAGTGATACTTGTAGAACTGCATTCTTCTTTCAAGGACTTAACTTACTTGGCTCAAAAAAATGTATATATCTATCCTTAAATGGCTAATGTTTAGATAATTCAAATAATTTTAGTGGGCATTGTAAAAATAAATGGCTTAAATAGAATTACAGTGGACAGAAGGCACATGAAGGCTACAACCTGGAAAGGCTCACATGAAATAAGAGATAAATATCCCAATATTAGACAGTTTTCAGAAACAGTGCTTTATTTATATGAACTTTGTGTACAAGAGGTTTAAAAAACCTCATTTACAAAATCCAATGTCACTTAAGAAGTTCAAAGCTATTAATGAAAAAAAAACAGTTAATCTACTTATTAGAAAGTGAAATTTGAAAAGATCTCTTTCCCTGCCTGTCTTCATTGAGCTAAGAAAATGCTATGCACTGCATTTACCTTTAAGTGGTCAGATAATCAATCCTTATTTGAGGTGCATACACTGCATTCTCAGGGGAAAACTACAGGAATTCTTGTTACAGTGAAATTTACATCTCATAAAGAGTATGCAGGTTGCAAATTGCTTCACAAACGTCAGTGTAACTGGAGGCTCCCAATGATGCTTAGTAACTACTTCCAGGAGATAAACCATTCAAAGTAAAATCATATGTGGCCCAGTCTTTTAAAGACATCGTTCCCATATATCCACCTTCCAGACTTTTTCCACAAACTCTCCCTATTTTAATACACGAGATGGAAGACACTCGGATTTCCGCATCCTTATGAGTCTAGACTGCAACATGCTTTGGTCAGATGGTTGGAGGTCTTAGATGTGAGATTCTGAAAAGTCTCCTTTCAGCTTTCAGAACTAAAAGGCTTAACATATGCTTAGTTTGGACACATTTGCTGGGAATGATTTAAACATGCAGTAATACATAGGCAGATGCCCCTATTAAGCCAGTACTTCACTACATCAGGGAGCTAAACTTTTTAACATGATATATAGATTTTAATGTGGACAAAATATCTTTTTTCCTAGGTTTCTCAGCAGTGGCTTAAACACTTTAGCCAAAGCATTCAAAAATTTAAATTTGCTTTGAATGAGATGCTTATTCAAGTTTTAGAGGCTTAGAGCTGAGTAACTGGAGTTTCAAAGTTGTAAGTAATGAAGGAGAAGATATTTTAATAGCTGTATTTTCCATTCACAAATTCACCACTTCATTTAACAGTACATCATGTCAACTGTATCTATAGAACAAAATAAGACTTCAGACACAACGCATTTGTATTTCTGGAAGAGGTAACTCATTAATTTCTGTATCCACTTCCTTCAGTCCCTTAACAGAAAAAGGGTACAACATTTCATATAGAACGTAATCTACAGAAGATGCTTTCCTCATTACATCATCATCTGCTGATGCTGGGGGATACAGCCACCAGCTTAGTGGATCATAAATGCAACTGCTGGCTCAGACCCAGCATGTTAAAACCAACATCCATCGCTGGGACAACAATATGCATAGCAATCAAAATTTAGTTGCAATAGCTTTATTTATATAATTTTAAAATGCAAAAACCTTCCAACAACGAAAGAAAATGGACTTTGTGCATGAAGCATTAAAACTACCAGATATCTATTTATTTTCAAGAATTTTGTTCTTTCTACATGATAGAAACAAAAGAAAAAGCTGAAACATTATTATCCAATGAAATTTTATTAGAAAAATCATATCTATCACTCACCGATTTTTTCATCCAGAAGCTTAATTTTCTCTTCATTAAGTTGAATTTCATATTTTTTCTTAGTAAGACTTCGCTGTGCCTCTGAAAGAATCTGCTCTGTCTTTTCCTTCATTAGACTAAAAAAGAGAATTCAGATATTAGAGGACTTAATTCCTTTTTGAAATGCCACAAGTGAAGTAAAAGCAAGATATTTCTGTTTATCTTAGACTTTTGAAGATATTTTATCAATGTTAGCCTTAATCTCTAGATATTAAGGTCTGAATACTACTATAAAGACTCACAGGAAAATAAGAATTTTTTACAACAGAGAGACCAAAAAATTGTTAGAAATAATTATAAGAAAAATCTTTACTTAAAACACACACTGGAATGCTTGACCTATTTTAAGTTATACCTTACTAGTAGCAACTAATCTTCAAGAACTCAGCTTTTATAGTATTCATAAATCTGACAACTTGTAAAAAACAGCAGCAATGCCGGACACGTTTTGACAAAGGAGTTTGTGTTACTTCAGAAACTGCAGTATTCTTGGAAAGGTATTGTGGAACAGCACATCACTCCCACCAATTAAAATCAAACAAAGAAAAAAATTACATCAGCTATTCATCACCTACACCAGCCACTGTTAATGACACGTGGGTTTAGGAGAGCATTTGCCTGACTGAATTACAGCTTACAAATTGTCGTGGTTTTATGATTTTTCGGTATTCCACATTGTAACATCATGTAGATGTTACACTGTTGGAACATTCACAGGTGTAGAAGTAGAGAAGTCACAGTATCTTCTGCTGCAGTCTGTTCATCCTGTAACCTACTTCAGCATGTGATCTATACCTTCTTATCTCTGCTCAAATTTCTCACGTGCTTAACCTCCCCCTCCAGTCAGTAAGTAGTCCTTTTCATCATGAACTCAATGACCTATGCTTTCTTCCCTACAGCTTTACTCAAGTCTAGTCCCACTGTATGTTTCTGAATGCTGTTAGGAACTCCAGTCGAGCAGCAGTGGAGTTCAAAAACTCCATGCAAGGCTTCAGTTTTATTTCTGCTCCTGAAAAAACTGCAGGACTAAGAAATGGATGTTTGAAACTAACTGAACACATGACACTCATTAGTTTGTGTTTATTTGCTTGCCTTTTTAAGAACAACAGCATCAAAGGAAAATGATTTTTATGTATTTGTAATTAAAACATAATTCTTCAAAATACATCAGTCACTATGGTTTCTAATAGCAAGTTCCTAACCCAAGCCACTTTGCTTTCCCACTGAAAATGGTTTTCTTTACATCATAGTAACAGCAAATCAACATTTTACATATAAATAAGCAATGAGGAAAAACATTTAATTCCAAAACAGAAAGATGTCTCACGAGCACAACTGTCATAAGTTCTCTTCCCTTTGAGCTAAACGTAACCCAAAAGCCAAGGCTGACACTACTTGAACTGATGCAGTTATATACTTCCACTGACCTCAGTGAAATATATTCATCCTTCTGGTGGCTTAGCTCATTCTCAGAGTCCTGGCATCTTCTTGACATTATTTTTACCTCTGTTTCCAGAGAATCGATGTGTTCTTTCATTAGAGCCATTCTGGACATCTGCTCTAACCGTTCACTATCTAACTATAAATATAATTAAACATTAATTAAACAGGAAAATCTGGAATAAAAAGCTGATTTACATATAGATACTCACCTATTTACTCAAATTCGACTCTATTTTTAAGACAAATCTTTCACTGAAGGAGAAATTTCCAAGTTTACTCAGAACCTCCCAGGACTAAAAGCTGAAATTTGAAGTACAGTATCTGTCTTTAGATCCCTGGAGTATTTTGATTTATTTATGTAAAATGTTGTGTTGGTAATTAGGTGGAAGGATAAAAATGTTTGGTATTGGTCATCCTTAAAATTTTCAGTCACAGAAAATGCCTCTGTGGCTTTATGAATGGAGAAACCACAGTTTCAGATGCAACAATACCAATGATGGGTTTAGGTCTCTGTTAAGGTACAAGGCTATGCTGATAACTGGGCAGAGAAGTCACTCTAGAACACTTCCATTACGCACCCTATGGCCAAGAGACCACCATGAGGCCTTTAAGTCTGTACCTAGAACAATGACAGAGCTGTCCCAGAAAATCTTCCTTAGGTTCCTGCAAAGTTAGTCTGGAATGTCCAGTTTAAGGAAATCTGTATTTGATTACTAAAACATTCATACTTCACATTCAAAGTACTTTCCTTTCTAAATGATTTGAAACAACTCTTTTCAGGTAAAAATTTCTCACGTCATGCCTCTTCCTATTTACTAATTCTTTAAGGACTAGTTGCTGTGTTACTACAATAAAGGTCAGATTGCTGAAGATCAAGTCAATTAGAGCTTGGTATACAGTGACTTTCTCAATATTAGTGCCATAAATTTCATACTGAAGTATATCACCCTCAAAGGGGATCAAATAACCAAAGAAATGAGACAAATACCTTCCTGATACTCACAATGCTTCATACATCGAGCATATGATTAAAGCTGATCTGCCACTCAGACCAGTCAGTGGATTCTTCATTACAAATACATTCAATTTAATATTTTAATTCTTAGAACTGTACTTACAAGCTTGGTACAATTTAAAAGGCTGAAAGGGAGAAGTGAAAGTGAAATAAAATCTATAACCACAAGATCTAGAAGAAAGAGGCACTACATAAATCAATGCTTATCTATTTTAAATCAGGTTTTACTAAGACTGTATATACACTCAAGAGAACTGTATTTATTTTATTACTGCTTTCATTTTCTATCCGTATCTATTAGCTAACAACTGTACATATAAATAATTTATGTTGGAGATAAAGTATAATTTCATTTTCTTTTGTGGAGTATCAAGTCTTAGTAACATGCAACCATACGACAATCCAGGTTGGAAGGCCGTCTCCAGTTTAAAGCCCTGGACAAAGTAGCTCTGAGACCAGCTTGCTCAGGGTTTTATTCAGTCAGGTCTTGAAAATCTCAAAGGCTGAAGACTGCTTCACTGCTGACAGCCCTCATGGGGAAAAAGTGCTTCCCGGTATTCAGACTGAACACTGCTTGTTCCAATTTATGACCATTGCTTCTCATTCTTCCACCATTCTTCCACAGCTGTGAAGTCTTTCTCTGACTAAATGGTGAGTACTGGCAGGTAGCACTTGGTCCCTCTTGAAGCCACTCAGCCACAGAGTGCTCCAGCCCTGACTGTCTTTGGAGCCTTCTCTGAAAATAGTCACACCAGTTTGGCAATGTCTTTCTTGTATTAGATAGCAAAACTGGATGCAGTATTCCAGGTGAGATCTAACATGCTCTCAGTAGGATGGGACAATCACTTCCATTAAGCTACTGGCTGTATCCTCTTCACAAAGCCTACTACACTCTTAGCCTTCTTTGCTGTCATTGTACACTGCTGGCTCATGCACAGCTCTGCTGTGATCCAGGACCTCCAGGGTTATTTTAGCAGAGTTGCTCCCAAACCCGTTAGTCCCCAGCTTGTATTAGTGCCAGGGATTTTTCTTCCCAAATTCAGGTCTTGGCATCAATCCTTGTTTCATGAGAATTTTTGCACAAGGTTACAGCTGGCTATTCCTTCCACTTGCCCCTGTCCCTTGAGTATATCAACTAAGAGCCCTGCTCTTGGGTATATCAACTATTCTCCCCAATTTGGGGAAATCTGCAACCTTTATGCTGCCTCTTGCAGGTCACTGAGAAAGACCTTAAAAAGAACAGGCCTCACAACAGTCCCATGTTCTGATCCACGATCCATGCTACCAGCCTCCACTGTGTGCCAGACCATCCAGGTTTTTTCTGTCTAACTGCTCATCTGCCCAGACCCCAACCCCTCACCTGGATACAAAGACACTTTGGGTAACAGTATCAGAAGTTTTGCCACAATCTAGGCAAATGACATCCACTATTCCCCTTTATTTCTTCATAGAAGGCATTCAGATGGGTCCCACAGTATAAACCATTAAGTATCACCTTTATTACAGTTATTTAAATAATTACTCGCCTTACATTTTGAATAGTAGTTTCTAGCTCTTCAATTCTCTGCTGCAAATGAGCTTTTTCATTAAATGCAGTCTCTTGGGAAATCTGTGTCAAATAACAAAATCACACATAAAATAAACCTTAACTCACCACAGACAGATAATGCAATTAACTCTCAGTACCAGAATAGAAATCTTTGGCAACTCTAACTCCAATACTAAGTAACCTTTGTGTTAAAATAAGCTTGAGTGAAAAAAAAAAAAACTTAAACCTTCAGCTGCTTCCTGAGACTGTCATGTTCTGCAGTCATCCTTCGTAAATGTGACAGTGCTGTATCCCTTTCTGTCTCCACATGCCTTAACATTGCTTGAGCTGCCACAGTACTTCTTGGAGTCCTGGTGCATTTGATGACTTCCTGATGAAGCTGGGAAATCTCTTCCTGGGCCTGTTTTTTAAAAAATAGCAGTATAGCAGAAATATGGAAACAACATAATGTATTCCTGCATGTATAAAACAGGGACTCGTTAGAGAATTTCAGTTGGCATTGCTCAATTGAATGAATAGATTTACATTCTATAAAGCAATCATCAGTGAAAAAGAAATATACATTATCTTTTAGTAGGCCAAATAACAACATGTTACAGTAGCACATCACAGCAGATTTAGTTTTGAGCAATGAAAAGGGTTCATTGAAGAGAATAAGAGCAAAGGTCTCAACCAGTAACACTTATGAGACTTTTCAGTAATACTTATAAATCAAATTATTTCAGTCTTCAGCAAAACTATTTCTGTTTGATATTTTAGAAGTGTAAACTACAGCGTGCAAAAAAAAAAAAAAAAAAAATCTAGTGTGAACTATGTTTAGTAAAAAGGCATTACTGATAATGCAGAGCATCCCAGAAACCACACAATGTCAAAAATGAAACAATGACTGATGTGTATATGCCTTCCCTCAGGAAAGCATTCCTAATTCAGGACAGCACTTACAGTCTTGTATTTAAATGACAAATTCAGAACTGACAGAACTTCAAAAAAATTCTTTAAATTAGTATTTTATAGTTTTAGTCTTAAGTTGGTTTTTTCTTTCATTTTAAACAGAAAAATCGTTTTTATTTTCTTTCACATCACAGAATCACAGAATTGAGGGGCTGGAAGGGAGCTCCTCCAGAGATCACTGAGTCCAACTCCCCTGTCAAAGCAGGCTTCCTACATCAAGCTGCACAGGTAGACACCCAGGTGGGTCTTGAATATCTCCAGAGAAGGAGACCCACAGCCTCTCTGGGCAGCCTTTCCAGCTCTCCGTCACTCTCATTGCAAAGAAGTTCTTACAGGCATTTGTGCAAAACTTCCTGTGCCTCACTTTGTGGCTATTTCCCTTTTCCTATCACCACGTACCACTGAAAAGAGTCTGGCTTCATCCCTTTGCCTCCTGCACCTTACTTCTTTATAGACATCAATCAGATCCCCCCTCAGTCTTCCTTTCTCAAGGCTGAACAGACCCAGATCGCTCAGCCTTTCCTCATAAGAGAGGTGCTCCAGGTGCTTTATCACCTTTGTGGCCCTCATCTTCGCCACCCTAAGTTATTTTGCTTAACCATCGCAGCTGTTCAAACTTGGAAATTTCCCTGAATTTCTGCCACATGGCATTTGTATTTTTTCAGTGTTGACTCAAGTTCTTCACGTTCTCTCAATATTTTCAAAACATCTGGATCAGAACTCAATCCTTTAAATAATAATGAGATGTAAAATTAAAGCAGAAAAATTAAATTTGAGGTGCATTCTTACGTCTGCATTGGAAATTTCCATAAAGGATAAGATTAGCCTTCAACCCAAGAACCTGTAGACAAACAAAACCATACTCACGTAATTCTTAGTATTAGAGAACAGATATAAGCACTGTTCTAGAAAATAAATTTTATTTTGAACAGCAAATGTGTATCACAAATGGCACTGACAAAAAGAAATAATTCATACGTAACCAGCTGCAAATAGCCTCTGAAAATGATACGTTTACATTCTGTGTGAAGCACCAGTTAACTTCATGTTATTTGTTTGTTCCCATCATATGCATCCTTTTGTTTATAATTAGTTTTCTTTAGTATAGCTTTGGTCAGTTGCCATTAGATAAGCCAATCCTTACAAAGAAGGCACTCCTCCTGTTGCAAAGTGTTTTCCAAGCTCACCTGGACGTGTGATTTTTTTTTGGACATGCTGTCCCAAGTAGAGCCACGCTTAGGACTTGAAGATGCGTTTCGAAACACCCTCAGCAAATTCTCAGTCTTGCTTTTATAGTAGTCTCTGTCCTCTTCCAGTGTCTTAATAAATGTATCAAGCCTTGAAGGTGATTTCCCTTGCCTTATTTCATTCTCTGTTTGCAGAATAGCCTGCATGTGCAAACATAAGATGATGGACTCATTGAAACAGAACTTTTCTAGAGAAAAACACCTCAATGTGAAATGGACAAACATACTGTTCAGAATGAAGTGGAAGCAGATATCTACTTAAAAATAAATATCTATTTAATATTTTAAAGTGACTTTCTGAATGTCTGCATTTTTCTTTTGGTTAAATTGTTCTCAAATTCCAACTTCTCTGCTGGAGACTCACTATCTTCCATGGTAACTGAGCAGTAAGATTGCATGGCCAATTTGGGGTTTTTTTGTTATGGTTGTTTTGTTTTCTATTGAATGTTTGTTTGTTTGAGTGGGGTTTTTTTGTAGGATTGTGGTATAAACTCAAATATTTTGTACAGGAAAGTAGTATTCAATTCCTTTCCTCTACACTCTCTTCAGCACTGCCAGAACTAAAATTTGAGACAAATCTTAAAATTACATAAATTAAATACAATTTTGACAACCAAAACCCCCCCCCCTCTATAAAAACATACTTATGAATCCTTTTAATATATTCAAGTAATAATTTGATAAGTTGTATCTATTACTAGCAAATATTTTTACAACATGGTAGACAATTCTAAATGTTCCAACAGCACAACATCTTAAGCCAGACAGACTAATAAAGTAAAAACGTCAAAGAAAAATGTTGCTTCTTTCTGTTTCATAAATGATTTGCAAATTACTGAAAGCAGTTCAATGCTGTTTTGTATTAAAAAAAAAAAAAAAAAAAAGCCATTAAGATTCTCAAAAGCAAAATCATTGCAGGTTAGCTGCAAAACAGAAACGGCTTCCCATCCATCCAGCAACAGCATAACAAATGAGAACAGACATTTTTATCTATTCTATTCTGTAACTTGCCTGTTATCAGTGAAACAAAGCAAATGAAATTACTTCGTTGAAGCATTAATTTAATGTGGAAATTAACCAATTTCATAGCTACGTATGTATTAAGAATACATGTTTAACTCACAGATTTCAATGTTTTCACCGTGTGTTCCAGCTTCTTTATGCTGTTCTGCTGGCGTCGAACTTGAGTCTACCATAAAAATTTGAAAGAGATGCATTCATCTTTTACATTCTCTAGTGCAAATCTGACATTTTATCTCAATTCTTCTAGTCCAAAGGAACATTTTGTACACGCTGTCTAATTTGACTAGGCTGAAAACATGCTATTATGTATCAACAATACATTTAATCTAGAGGGGAATCAGTTAAAAGTCTTATCTTTTAGTGCAGTCCAGGGTTCAGAAAAACAGTAACAGTCAAAAAATCCCAGGTCAAAAAATGAAAAAGGAAGCATGGAATACTTTTTCCCAGAATTATTTTACCAGGAAACTTTCAAATTCAGGGACAATCCGACTATACTTATCAGCTAAAGAATTAAGTGCGTAGTTACACTAATGGCAAACAAATATCCTTTCTGCCATCTGAACACTACATTAAACAATGCTATTATTTTATTATTAATTGCATGTCCATAAAATACAGTTTGCTTCTATTCTATGAAATCAACTGCAATCTGCAATGAAATCGCATTCTTTCCGACCGCAAATGTGATTTTAATCCTTGAACCATTTCTCACTTGAGTGAGAAATGGCCATCACAGTGGCCAGAACCTACTCTTTCCTCATCCTACCAAATGTACTTGAAAGCAGGGATGAAAGCTAAGATTTCAGCCCAAAGGGTAAAAACAAAAAAATATCAGTTCCCCATAACAGTAGAAAATAACATTAAAATATCACCGTGTAACATCAATCCCAAGAAGATACCTTTGCTTCTTCTAGCTCCTTATCAGTGGTGTTCAGTAACAACTCGTTTTCCTTTTCCAGCTGCTCAGATAGTTTGGCAATTACAGCAAGTTCTTTACACAGGTGATCATTTTTACAGGTCAAACTATCCACTTGTCTTTCAACCACTTGCTTCTTATTAAGCAGTTGTAGGACATGTTGCCTTAGCTCTTGGTTTATTTTCTTCAGATTTTCAGCCTATGAGGACAAGGAGGAATAAAATATTTTACTACATCTTCAGGGATCTGCAGGGAAAATTTCAACAGAAAAGGCCTGCTCTCAAGTTTCCGACAGCCGGACTTACCGTGGTTCTTCTAGACTTAAGGAAAGCCCTTCAATCATCCTCTTTGAAATGGACCCACAACCTTCATACATAGTGAAGGCCAACAGAAATGTAGCAGATCAATTACTACTATTAATTCGAAAATTAAGAAATATAGGATTAATTATTTTCCTGAAAAAATGTAATCTTCAAGAAAAAAAATCATGATAATTACATGGCCTTTTTCTAAGAAGCTTGAGTTGCCATATCATTTTGGCAAGTGTCATCTTTAACTTCTCAATTTAATGGAGCATCACTTCCTCATGCAGCTTTTCAATTTTCTGAATTCTCAGATTTCTAAAAATCATACTCTAATCAAGGGATGCATACAGTGTGATGCAGAAAGTCCCTCATTTACACAGACTGTTTCTGTAATGCATGAAAAGATCAGTATCTCAAAACTGAGTTCTGTGAAGTTCCCTTGAATTGAAGAGTTTTCTTCAACTACTGCTAACAAAAAAACAAAACAAAACAAAACATTTCTAATTACTTAAGAAGATGTGGAAGATGATTTGTGGAAAAAAGCTTTCTGGATGGGTGTCTCCCGTGACATTTTGTAGCTTTTCATTTTACCGCTTCTGTTCAATGGCTATGCAAATACATTGATAAGACTGATAATCCCTTAAAGCCTTAGAGACTCAAAACCCAATACCACACTATTAACAAATTTGCATCACCAACAGAAATCATAAATTACAAAAAAAATGTTCTTTCTATCATGCCTTTGCACTCTACTGCTCACAACGGCCTGTTCCAGCAACATAAACCATGGAGAACAACGGTACCAGTTATTTACTTCCTAGCCACAAAAGGATGGAGAAACGTATTTTCTGTATTTTTGATGTAACAAAATAAAAGAAATACATGTTAATAGGAAACATGGGCATGTATCTCCATCTACCAGCATCTCCTCAAACAGAGAGCATGGCCAGAAACATTTGTAAATGTTCAAACTCTGTGCAGAACACAGGGATATGAAGCTAGTTATCATCAGCTCTCTAGTGCTGCAGCCTATGATTCCTCAGAAATCAACAAAGACTTTGGAATAAAAGAAGGGAGAGAAAGATAGACTGCTCTCTGGCAACTTTCTAAGAATAACCATGATAAAGTAAGGTCACTGGAGCAAGTCAGAGAGACATGAAAGAGCTAATGAGACAGGGACAGTGACGAGCACACCAGTGCCTGGCAGTGCTATTCAATACCTGCCATCCTGCTACAACTCTAACGTATAAAGAAGCCCACAGATCTAACAATAGAAGACAAACAATTGTTCACCAGCACAAAGTTCACAACAGCTTCTGCCCCTACTTACATTCAGGAGTCTCCAGGGAATTTGGGCAGCTGCGTGACTTCATTACCATTTAAAATCTCATCTGAATCAAATGTCAGTCACCAACTATCAGTCTGACTATTAGCCTCAAAGTGTTTTAAGCAACAATCTAAGTGATGGCTTTGTTAAGGAGTGAGATACAGCGGACTTCATCTGGAGTACCTACAAAGAGAGTTCTAAAATGGAATTTTCACTATCTATTTTAATTGGTCATCCTAATATCATTCTTGCCCTAGGAATACCTGTTTCTTTTCCCCAGGAGTGAGGACAGCTTGGAGATCTCTATAACAGCCATCATCACCACAGATGTGTCAAACTAGACAAGATGGATCCAACCCTAATATTCTGTTCTCTTTAAAAGACAAAAAACAACTTTGCTAGTCTTTCCAGAAAAGGAAGAGTAAAAGATTAGTGATTTGCAAGTTCTTAGTAACTCAGTATCTCACTCAGTTTTACAGATAGAATGTGTGGCATTTGGTTCCTCACAATACTACTTTTACTCAACTTGTGGAAAAGGAACTTTTTGGAGAAAAAAAAAGATTTTTTTATTTCCTAAAATAACTGATATTTGTGCTTGTCATAAAGCAGTATAATTTAACTACCACTATCCTGCCACCTTCCTCTGAAGTGTGGCAAAGCTTCATGCAACACTAAACGATACCTGCACCAGGCATTACAACATGATCAGAAGTAGGCAATTAGATGGTAAAAGTTTATTCATGAAAGCCAGCGACAAAATCTGTGGGACCCAACCACAGGCATGCACAACCAAACCTCAACTGTTTACATTCAGTTATTTAATTCAGAAAGGTCTACAGGAGCAACTGAATATCCAGAACATACTCAGATCCATCTTCACATTTTGAAGGTCCTCCTTCACAAATCCACGACTACCCTCCATCATCCTTTTGTCTTTAATATATCTCAAAATGCTTTCCAAGATTATTTGCTCTGTGTCTTGCTAGTGACAGGGACTGACCAGACTGTAACAGTTCTCCAGAACCTCTTGTCCACCCTTTTTGAAAGCATAAGATGAGATGCATCCAGGTAGGTCCCATGAACTAGCATTTATCCAGATAGTTTAAATGTTCCCCAATCTGATCTTCTTTCATTAAGGAAAAGTCTTCCTCACTCCACAATTTTCCTTCAGTCCCAGAGACCTGACATTCCTGAATGAAGGTCTTTCCAGTAAAGACAGAGGCAGAGAAAGCATTGAGTACTTCAGACTTTTTAGTGTCCTTTGTCACCAAGTCACCCACGCCATACAACAGTGAGAACATTTTCTATAGCTTCCTTAGGCTAATGTGTCTGTGAAAGTCTGTGAAATCCCTTCTCCTTGCCCTCCATATCCCTCATCAGATTCAGCACCAGATGGGCTTTGATTTTCTTAACTCCATCTTTGAATGCTTAGAGAGCATCTCTATACACCTCTCTGGTGTACAGAGATACAGAGATCCCTCTCTCACCTCTTTTATGCTTCCTTTTTTTTTTTTTTTTTAAATGTACGTTTCAGATTTGTCAGGAGCTCCCTGCTTATCCATAAGCCCTCCTGCCCCCTTGCCTGATTTCCTGTTCATATACATGGAGCTCGGAACAGGCAAGAATTGAAAATCAACAACTCTCCTGGACCACTCCTACGAAGAACAAGTTACCAGGGGAGTTTTCCAATCTGATCTTGGAACAAGTCAAAGTCTTTTTAAATTTAGATTTTGATTCTTCTTTTTGCCCTGTTCCTGCCTCTCGCAACCCTAAAGTTAACCATCTTGTGGTCAACACAGAGACACAGAACTGTAGGAATCGGAAGGGACCTCTGGAGATCAAGTCCACCCCCCGTTCTAAAGCAGGTTCCCTACAGTAGATGGCACAGGAAAGTGTCCAGATGAGTCTGAGTATCTCCAGAGAAGGAGACTAGACTGTGGTCACCGTAGTTAAATCTGCACTGAAGTCAATCTTCACATCTTGTACTAGTTCCTCCTTGCTTGTAAGCAGAGAGCCACCCTGCATGGGCTTCTCTATCTCCTAGATCAGGAATTAGTAATCACTACATTTCAGAAAACTCCAGGACTGCTCATGGCCTGCTGTGCTGTTCCTTCAGCAGACGTCAAGGCAATTACAGTCTGCCATGAGCACCAGGACCTGCAAACATGAGGCTTCTTCCAGTAGCCCAATGAGCAGCCTAATGGCCAACCCTCCAAAGCTGGGCTGCTCCACATAGTATTATTTAACAAATGCTTGAAGGTGAACATTACTGACTGAGTAAAAACAGCACTAGTATTTCCAAAGCCTTAAATTGGTTTTGTATTGCAAAATATGTTTCCTTAAATAAAATAAAAAAAAAAAAAAAAAAAAAAGTACGTGTGAGTTTACATATAAAATTAAAGCAGTGCGGCATGCACATGGATTTTACTCTTGACTACTAAGCTCGGACGTTTCATTGCACTGCACCGAGTGCATAGGAATAAGCATAGAGTAAATACAATGGGACGCAGTCGGACACTACAAAAGTCAAAGCGATCATGCGAAAACCGACTGCATCCCTAAAGGAACAGGGAGTACCCCCAGCCTCTCCAGGGCTCCCTCCAGCCGGCAAGGTGCCACCAATCGGCTCTGGCACTCCTCTGCCCTCTGCCCTCTGCCCTCCGCCCTCCACCAACCATCGCCCCGGCCGCCCCACGTACGCCTCTCCCGGGTCGCGCCGGGCTCGCGCTGAAGCGAGCCCCGCCGGGTGTCTACCTTGAGGCGAGCCTCCGCCCTCCCCCTCCGGCGTCCCGGGGACCGCCGGGTGCTCATGGTGGCTGCCCGGGCGGCGTGAAGCGCCCGCTACTCTCGCTCCCAGCCCCGGGCGCTCACCCGCGGCCCAATGGCGAGCTCCCGGCAGCGCCCCTTCCCTCCCCGCCGCGGGGCGGTGGCCGCCGCGCCCCAACGGCCGCGTTCCCTGGTGCCCGGCAACGGCCGGCTCCCAGCCGCCCCTCAGCGCTGTGCCAGACGGTCTCGGCAACAATCCAGGATTTCGGTCTTGCTGATTTTGGTACGCTGGAAATCATCAGAGGAGACTGTGCATTACCGTATTTCATAGAATCACCAAATGGCCTGGGTTGAAAAGAACACAATGATCATCTGGTTTCAACCCCCCTGCTATGTGCAGGGTCACCAACCACCAGACCAGGCTGCCCAGAGCCACATCCAGCATGGCCTTGAGTGCCTCCAGGGATGGGGCATCCACAGCCTCCTTGGGCAACCTGTTCCAGTGTGTCACGAACCTCTGTGTGAAAAACTTCCTCCTAATATCTAACCTAAACCTCCCCTGTCTCAGTTTAAAACCATTCCCCCTTGTCCTATCACTATCCACCCTCGTAAAAAGCCATTCTCCCTCCTATTTAAAAGTTTCCTTCAAATATTTGGAAGGCCAAAATGAGGTCTCCCCAGAGCCTTTTCCAAGCTAAACAAGCCCAGTTCCCTCAACCTTTCTTCATTTTTATTTCCAAGAGAGATGTGAAAAGACAGCATTTCAGGTTCTAGGAAAACTCTTTTCCATGAACACTCATTTTAGCAATGAAGTTATGTTGATTTTGTTCTTGTACTTGTATGGTTTTCTTTAAGTTATATAAAGTGGCCTCTCATATGTTGATATCAGGGCCACAGGACTTGAAGCCACAGCAGCAACAGCCTGAATGTGACTTATTTACTTTCCATGAAAAAAAACAAAGACCCCCAGTAGTTACACTGTTAAGATGTCACAGAAAATGCAAAAATCTCTGGAGTTGGATGTGTCACATTTCTGGAAACTTTTCAAAGCCTGTGATTCAAGACTGTGCAGCAGAGTCAGAGTATCTGGAGTGCCACTTCCTGTGGCACAACTGGCCACATTTAAAGCCAAGTCTTGAAAGGTGTTAGTGGAGCCCACAGGGAAGATGGCATTACTGCTGCTTTGCTCAACCTCTCTTCTACTAATGCGAGCCTTCTTCCTGCTCATGCCTTAAGCACATTTTTATGCATAATTCAACATCTGCTAGAGCATATGAAGAAAGAACTACATCCTCTTTGGGTTGTTACTCTAGGCTCTGAGAAAGTTAACATCAGTTATACAGTTGGCTATTTGCCTCACACAGCAGAGTGCACATTGGGTTTGGGATTTCTGCACCCAAAGGTTAATTCCGGAGCTGCACTCCTGACAGGAATTTGGGAATCATGTCACTAAGCAGTTTGTGCTGGATCCTACCACAGAGTGAATCTATATTCTGAGATTTTATTCACTTATTGGGATCTTCTGCTGGATTACAATGCAGTATAATCCAGTTCATAAATCTGTACTTATTGTATATTGCTAGAATATGTCTAATGATCTCAGTGGGTTTGTCTTTAAAAATAGCCACTTTTCAGGAAAGGTACTTGCAGCTGAATATGCATTTTATCTATCACAATATAAGAAACAAAGCCAAGACATTTTTAACTGTCCACCTTAGTGTTCTGCACATTTTACTTTTCTAGCACATTCTGCTTCTAATTAAGGAAAGGAGAATTGCTTTGGTCAGGCTATTTTCAGCTTGAAAAACACCTAACAGCTCACAGTACGTTTTTACTGACACCCGGTGGCAAACTGTAGAAATACATAGCAAACCTCCATGAGCCAAATGCTAAACGGGAAACAAATACTCCAGAGTTTGGTTTGTTTTCTAGTAACGTCAGCAGTCCCAGAGGATGCACTGCATTTCCTCTGAGCAGCATTCACTTTTGCATTCTACCAACCACCTCAAACACTGACTAATTCGTGGAGCATCAACACATTTTTATGGACAAAATCCACATGCTTTTTATCCAATGCATTTCAGAACACTTTGCCCTAGCAGAAAGCTGCTATCACAAAACTAATTTACCTTAAATGCAATAAAACAACATGGTAAGTGCTGGGACACACATCAAGTCATGCTCCTTTTAGAGTCACTCACCAACCACCACCAGCACTCCCATGTAAGTGTTTCTTACACTTTGCTTGCACTACTACAACCACATATTTAAGACCTTGGTTAAGAAATGTTCTTGCTCTGAATGATCCATTTCTTCAGTATGAAACAACCCCAAGCTCACATTGTTAATCTTGGTAGCCTCTTGTCTTTTGTCTGCATTTTTTTCTTTCACTTTGCAGGGAATATAGTTATTGTACAACTATCTATTTAATCAGAGATAAAGGCAATTCAAGCTCCATTATTATCAGTTCTGTTGGTAAAATGAACACACAAGGGATGCTCTGAAAGTAATGCCTGCCGTTTTGTGATGTTGACCTATGACATCAGAGGCAGATGTTGGTGGGATGGCAGTAGAGGCTGAACCTTTCCACCAACATCCCATTACATTTTGTTGCCATGTGACAGATGGCAGCAGAGAGGCAGACACAATGGTGTCTGACATGGATGAAGTGGATGAAGCAAAGGTGGATCACTGAATTCCTCCATGCAGAAAAAAATGGTACTCACTGAAATTCACTGACACTTGCTGAATGTTAATGGAGACCAAACAGTGGATGTGAGCACAATGAGGTGGTGCATTTCAGCAGTGGTGACAGTGACAGTGGGCCACGTCCACTGCTGCATTTTGTTACAGGCATGACAGGTAGGCACTTGTTCATCACTGCAAAAATGCATAGCAAATGGTGGTGGCTATGTTGAAGCACAGTGTTTTGTAGCTGGGAATTTGCTCTATCAAACAGTGTGGTTATGCGCTTTGTTGCAGTTTCCATGTAAATAAATAGGAGGCATTACTTTTGGAGCACAAACATACAAAAAATCTGGGGTTATATTCCCAAACTGCTCCTGCAAATGATTTTGCTGTTTCGTTGGAATGATACCCGCCTGCTGTTTCTTCCTAAATCAGCTGTTTTTAGAACTAGGAAGAAAAATTACTTCCCATCTGTCACTGTTGCAGAGGAATAATCTGTGAGAATGCATATGAGCCACTCTCCCAACGTTTTAACGTACAATTCTTTCAGGTCTTGAGACTCCCATATTGAGGAAAAATGCAAGATAAAAGCATGCAACGCATCCTTTATGGTACACCAGCAAGAGATACGGACTCCTCTGAAGATCAAACTTCAGCTCCAGGAGGCTTATGGCCGACTTAGAGAAGCGCCCGCCTCCCGCACCTCTAACCCGGGAAGCGGAAGGGACTGAGGAGCCCGCCGAGCTGTCGTGGGGCGCCTGGTGGCCGTGCCCGCGCACCGTCATCCCTCCCCGCGGTGAGTAGGAAATGGGGGGAGGAGACGCGATGGTGGCTGGGGGTGCGTCGCTTCGGTGCCTCGCTACGAGGCTTGCCGCCGTACGGGAGAACGGTGAGGGAGTTGTTGTGTTCGTTGAGCAATGGCGGCCCGGGCGGGCTGCACTCGGCGGGCACGGAGGGCTCGGCTGACGCGTCTGTAGGGAGCTGCTGGCTGCTGGTGCGATATGCACCGAGCGATATGCACCGAGATGCGTGGGTTGAGTGAGGGGGAGAATCGGTCCCATTTGTTCCCTTGGCCTTCCAGGCACCGAGGATAGCCGGCTGCAAGGAGGAGCACCTCCGACAGCCCCAGCTTCTATACAGAGCTCACGTCGGGGTGGGACAGCATCAGGAGCCTCCAGAGGAAAACATTTCTACTCGCGGCGGTTTAAGAACGTTGCTACTTTGGAAAGAGCATGACTGCATCATGACTGCAACCAGCAGTTCCTCCCTGTCACAACTGCGGGCTGCGCATGTGCCACATTCAGCTCTACCAGCACAAACAGGCCTTTTGCCCACCGTTCCGTTGTTAAGACCATGGTGCTGCAGTCCTCATTCAAAAGCTGCCTGTCGCTGTCGTGCCTTCTCAGGACTCCCAGAGCTGGCTTTGGAGGCACAGCTAGTGGGGGACTCATCATCCAGTCTCTGTCTAACGATGTTTACCAAAATCTAGCAGTGGAAGACTGGATCCATGACCACATGAATTTGGAGAACCGGCAGGTCCTTTTCCTGTGGAGAAATTCCCCAGCTGTGGTAATAGGAAGACACCAGAATCCCTGGCAGGAGTGCAACCTTCAGCTGATGAGGCAAAAGAACATAAAGCTAGCCCGGAGGAGGAGCGGGGGTGGGACGGTATACCATGACTTAGGCAATATCAATCTGACTTTCTTCACAGCCAGGAAAAAATATGAGCGAATGGAAAACTTGAAACTAGTTGTGAAGGCACTGAAAGCCTTGCGGCCACAGTTAGATATCCATGTCACCGACAGGTATGACATCTTGCTAGATGGGCAGTACAAAATCTCAGGTACTGCTGCAAAGCTGGGGCGGTCAACTGCTTATCACCATTGTACCTTACTCTGTAATGCCAATAAATTTGTTTTATCTTCTGTACTGAAGAGTCCTTATAAAGGACTGAAAAGCAATGCCACTCCCAGTGTGCCTGCCTCAGTGAAAAACCTCTTTGAAGAGGATCCTAGCTTAACTTGTGAGATGCTGCTGGATGCCATTGCTGAAGAATATGCCACGCAGCACAGAATAGATCATCACATCACCTTAATAAATCCAACTGATGAGACTGTGCTTCCTGGAATCAATGATAAATCTAAAGAACTACAAACCTGGGAATGGGTGTATGGAAAGACACCGAAGTTCAGTGTTAGCACGTGTTTTAACATGATCTATAAAGATTCTGTTCTTGATGTTAAAGTGGACATGGATGTAAAGCATGGAAGAATTGAAGCCTGTGACATTGATCTGCCGCAGCAGTGGCTTCCGCCAGCACTGTGCAGTGAGCTAGTGAAGAGCCTTACAGGCAGTAA